TTAGCAGACGTATTTAAACTGCGTCGACAGTGAATCTGCTTTAACAAGACTCACCCAAGATTTATAGTGAGACAGTTGCTGAGACCCAGAAGAAAGGAGGGTACTTGTGGCTTTCTCTAATCCACATTTGCCTTTCTCATTATTAAGGATTTATTTTTTTGCTTATATAACCATGAAAATTTGTTGGAGTTGATTAGCTGTCTGCTCAGCTAATAACTGCGTCAGTGCAGTGATTGCAAATCCAGACACGAGTGTAGAATAAGCAAATAATAAGTAGTAAGCCAACGCACATGAGATTAAGTCTGCGAGCCTTTATTTATTTCAAATGGCAGGCGCTATGATAGCTATCATTAGCCATTTAGCTGACTTCGGGCTTCACAGAAGGAAGGTTCATCAAAGTAGCAGAAAGTCGAGGGGTGGGGATCAGAAGAGCGATTCACAGATGTAAAAGAGGCAGACAGACACAAAGGTAGAGAAAAGGTGAGGTGAGTACTGTGAGGGGTCGAATATGACAAATAGTCGGGCCATGGTAGTTTGAAGTGAGAAGTCAACTGCGAGTTAATTGACTTTTTTGCCGTATGAGTATACGTTGCCCAGGGTGCACCACGTGGAGGTAAGTCTATCGCACACCCCCATCTGCGAAGTCTGATATTGGCATACCGACTGTGGGAGAGGGATAGCGAGAGAGATTTTTTCAATAAGGAGTTTGTGAAGAGCGTTAATCTGATTTTAAATGGTTGATTCGCATAAATTTTCGGAGACCAGTAAATGCGTTACCAGTAACTAACTTGGGTAGTGGGAAGTGGCATTTTAGAATCCCCCTTTCGAGAAACTTGCATTCTGCCAATAATCAATGCATTCATTTTTCCAACTTCTCACCTGACACAAGATCACGCTGAACACCTAGCCACCAGAGTAATTTATAGAGCTGCAAGATGGAAAGAACTCAATATTGTTGTCATTTAATCAATTCTAGGCTGCCTCCCTATCGGCATCATAAATAGGCTTTCTTTTCTTCCAAAATTTACTTTTTTTAAACAAAAACACAAATTGGTTACATGTATACTCACCGCCCAAACATTTGCATCGCCATAATGTACAAGATTTATTCCATTGCCGACATATACATGGCTCGAATTAAAAAAAATATATGACAGTAAGCCATAAATTAGTAGTAAATTAAATTTGACTTGGTTAAGTAAGAAAAAAATTGATCTGTTACGTAAAGTTTCATCAGAATGATTGAGAGTTAAAACCCAAGTTATTGGGATCCAGCATCGTCATAAGGCCAGTTTTATGACATGCAGAGGAAGATGGATCAGCGCAGAAACATGGTCTAAGGGACCGAAAGGAATCGTTACAAAAGGCGTCTAAGCATTTGATTCCAATAATGAGTTATCGAGGGGTTAAAGGAACGACAGCTTGAATTAGAAGGGCAACCTAGTATTATAGATAAAGTCATTACGAAAATGCTCAAAACATGTGATGAAATAATAAAAAAAGTTAATTAAATGTTTATGCAGATTTAACTGTTGGTTCTCGAAACGAAAACAAACATCCAGTTGTGAAGCACACAGAAAACTCACTTTTTATTACACCAAATGTGCAAAAACTATATCCAAAGTGTATTTAACAACAAAAATTTATCAAATATATCAATAAAATCAAGCAACTGCCCCTACAGTTGATATTTTTGCTTAAATTGGGCCATAATCCTAATGTGGTAAATTGGATTACCTTAGGTGAGAAGTTATCTAACGGCTGGATACTAAAAAGCGTAGTCACGAATCCACTTAAAACTTCATTTAGAAATGTAAGGAATTGAAAGCAAGTGATGAATTAATTAACTTAATAAAGCTAACCACGTAATCATGATGACTTTGGGGGGTGTGCGATAGACTTACCTCCACGTGGTGCACCCTGGGCAACGTATATTCATACGGCGAAAAGTCTATTGAGTGGGAGTTGACTTCTCACATCAAACTACCATCACCTCACTCTATGCCAAATTCGACTATTTCTACAGTACTCACCTCACATTTGTTCTACCTTTGTGTTTGTCTCTTACATCTTTGAAGCACTCTTCTGTCCCCCCCACCTATCGAATTTTTCAATTTGGTGTTCCTTCCCCTCTGTGTAGACTGAAGTCAACTAAAGGGCTAATGATAACCATCAAGACGCCTGCCATTTGATATAAATAAATAAATGATGACTTTGGTAGTCATAGTAGAGTTTGCAACTAGCAGAAAATCGGTATGAGCACATGGATATAGAAAATAGACACGAATCGAGTTAGATGACAGTGTGCTCAAGTGGAAAAAACGTTATTTCTAAATTGGTTGAAACTTTGCTCAGATCAATGTATTAATTAATAATGTCCGGACACAACAAATATGAATTCACTATGGAGATAAAGGCCCAATCACGAATTAGGCAACAAAATTGCTGAAACGCAAAGAATTAGATTTTTGCCAAAAGATGGCTATAAATGACTAATTGTATTCAGTACAAATTAAACGAACGAATAATTGTTCATTATCCATAAAAGCCACATAATTACTGAAATGTGCTTTATTTTGGGGGTAGTTGTCTTGCCTTGTCTTTGGGGCATTTAGGTGTTATTACTGAGTTCAGAAACTTGTGGCCAATATGGGGACAAGCCACCCTTTAGCGCATTGAGCACACTTTGAAGTTACCGCTCCCTGACGATCAGCAAAAGTCTCCGGCTTCTGAATTGACATTGAACTGTTTTTTTCTTTATAGAAATTGTAGCAAAATAGCCTCAGAGATAAAACAAACTGCAAAAACTGACACATCTAAAACCATTGCTTCTGTAAATTTTAGAAAAAAATCAATTCTATCTCTGGTTAGATCTATTTTTCCTACAGTGCTTCCTATTGCAATTATGGTTAAGTCGACCAATGATGGCATGAATTTGTACTAACCAGTCAGAGAAAGTGTGGAATTACGCAATTTCACGCACTCTATGGAGTCTTCGATGGTTCCAGGCCTATCGTGATCAAGCAATAATTAGTCTCGACACCCTGTCTGCATAATCGAGGGAAAAATCGAATATGTCTCCTAAAAGTTTATAAAGTAGGTTGTCGTACTCTGCGCTGCTCTAGAACTCATGCTTCATATAAAATGACCAAGTCCACTCAATGTCTCAGTCAGTACAACCACATTTGGGCTCACATGATTCGTCTAATTGAAATAGCATTGCGGGGACTCCTGTTGAACTCATTAATACTGTATCAACTAAAGTGGATACACTGCTCTAAAGGACTCACAGGAAGCCCAGAGGATTTGCGATAAATTCAAAATTGAAGTCTTATGAGGAAGAAGTGGCATGAAAGAAGTAAACAGATTATTGACTTGTTTCCTTGACGCCATTAGCATTTGTTTAAGTTTCTCCCACTTCTCCAATTGTGACATTGCCGGATTTCTAAAGCTAAGAGTGGTTTTAAACGCTTTCAAAGCAAAGCGCTGGGTTACCTTCTGTGTATTTTCGGTGGCTAGTTAATTTGGTCCAAGACTATATTTCAGCTGACGGTTTAAGGAACAATTGTGTGTGATAGAGCTTATCTTTATTATTGTGGGTAGAGGGGTGTGCGATAGACTTACCTCCACGTGGTGCACACTGGTCAACGTATACTCATACGGCAAAAGGTCTATTGACTTCTCACTTCAAACTACCATCACCCTACCGTGTCTTATTCGACTCCTTCCACACTACTCAGCTCACATTTTTTCTCTTTTACATCTTCAAAATACTCTTCTGCTCCCACCCCCCCCCCCCCCACCACCATCTCCACTTTTTTCTCCTTGATGCTCCTTCCCCTCTGTGAAGACTGAAGTCAGCTAAAGGGCTAATGATAACTATCAAAACGCCTGCCATTTGTTTTAAATTTATTGTGGGGGAGGGGGACGTTTGAATATCTGTTATCCCATACTATTTTCCTTTCAGAGTGCTCTTAAGCATTGCCTGCGGCTACGCGGAAACATGAGAGAACACGAACGCAGCAAGAATACGGTGCACGACCTCAACTTTCTCTTCGAAGGCTCTATTAATCACTGAACTACTTATAGGTTCTTTGTCGTAGAAAATAATATAGGTTATACAGGTAAGATGAGAATAGTGACCCGATGCACTCGAGTGTCACCCGACAGACAACTCACAACTGTCTGAGTTAACAGGAAATATATCTAGGATGGGGGAGTTAATGCCATTTTATTGATTGAAAGATTACAGGAGAAGATAGGTGAACCATGACTCTACTAATAATCAATTTCAAATCTACTTCAATAGCAAACATAATTCACAAGCGCAGTTAATTGTAAAAACACTTCTACTTATCAGAATACAGAGACAGGACAGGGAACAGAGGGCATCGAATTTCAATTCATGGCGGCAATATATGTGGACAGATGAATACACCAAAAAGGAAATATTTCGAGGGCGGGGCTGGGGGAGGGGGAGCGCAGCTGCGGGGGGGGGGTATTAGATAATCAAAATGCAGTTGAGTTGAGAGAGAGAGGGTTGGATTCTCTCCCCCGCCTTGTCACATCATAAGGTGGCTCTGTCGAGTAGTTGAATGGGCAGCTGTGACTGGATTTGCGTTACTGGCGTTGGTAGTTAAGCCGACACCTCCTCGTGGAGCCATCAGGCCCAGAGGTTGAACATCTCGATGCAAATTACGACTCAAAATGGAACGCACATCTGAGACAAAACGAAGGGCATCTAGAACTGGCAGGAGACAGAGGAGAGCGGTATCTTGTGGATCGGAAAACCAGGATTGAATAGGGATGGCGTTGTCTTAAATGTAAAAAGCATATCTTGAATAAATAAAATCGTTTTAATTCCCCAATTAGAAATAATACAAGTCAATTGTGCTAGCAATTTTATTCAATGCTCATAACTTGGAAAGAAGTCTCATGATGATACGTTGGCATATTCGGGTTATTACTACATCTAACATTCACCCCCTAAAATAATCTAACTGGCAGCTCTTTATTTATTGCAAGTACACCGTTTATACGAGAAAAAATAATAAAATTTCAAGTAATATCATCAACTACTTAAATACTCCCAGACTTCGGCTGCTTCTCGTCTCCTTCTTCTGAGCAAATTGGCTTCCAATATTAAGGTATGGCACATAACAGAGCATTTGTGAGACAGACTAATTTCCAATCGAAGGGAATTGGGAAGAAAGTATAATAGGAAACATTAATACAATGAGGTATTTCTGGGATTTAAATACTTGATGTAAGGTGTGCGATGGACTTACCTCCACGTGGTGCACCCTTGGCATCGTATACTCATCCGGCAAAAAAGTCTGTTGACAGGCAGTTGACTTCTGACTTCAAACTTTCATGACAGAACTGTATGTCACATTCGACCACTTTCACGGTACTCATCTTACTTTTTCTCTGTCTGTCTCTTTTACATTTGTGGATCACTCTTATGTTCCCCCCTCTCGACTTTCTCTCACTTTGATGCCCCTCTGTGACGCCTGAAGTCAGCTAAAGGGCTAATGATAACTATCGAAACGCCTGGCATTTGATGTAAATGAGTTTTTGATGTGAAATCAATACTTCCGATGAGATACTCAAACAAATAGATGAGTCGTAGTCCTTTAACAGACCTTCAGATATAGAAGCACGATCTTAGGCATTTGAAAGCGAATACTGTCGGATTTTGAAAAAGGGTTCCAGATCGCCTTGTTATAACCCGATATTTCAAAGTGAGGATTTATTAACGCTAAGCACAGAGGCCGTATAAAAGTTGACAAATTAAATGGTTGCCTATTACATCTCTAAAAAAACCGTAAACATTTAGCTGATACCAACTAAGATAACTTTACCATAGCAAAGCTAATGAGAAAACACACTCGAAGCAAAATCCAATCACAATATATAAGCACTCGGTTGATGTCACGAGTTCTATGAAGTACTGCGGATTCAATGAAGGTGCATTGATCAACCAAATATTCCCCCCCCCCCCAACATTTGTTGGCAGTTCTTAAAATTAAGAAAAGGTGCCCTTTAAAGCACCTAAATAACGATAAAAGGTATCAGACATTAATCACCCACCATTATGAGTGGACAATAAGCCCACCTGGTGAACTAAATAAACAACTCAAATCCATAATAAGGGCGTACTTTGCGAATAATTAATGAATGGAAAACAAGCGAATATATAGCAGACATGAAACCGAGGGAATGTGCGATTGAACACGAAAATCCCTCCCCCGCCCCCACCACTGCAATCTGTGACTCTATTTTTGGAAATGATGGAAAAAGAGAGACGACGAGATGGCACAAGAAAATAACGCACTCCACATCTACCAGTTGCCTCAGGCAAGCCATGCAGCTATTGATCTAAGGAAAACGATCCCACCATTTCGTCCAGCCAAGAAGAATAAGGACAAATTCTCATTATTACTTTGAGCCACTATCGTATTTCGATTAGAACTATGGTATGGCATATATTTCATAATTCCGAATTGTTCTATTACACGATCTAAGTGATAGGCATCATTTGCAATAATGGTGAAAAAAAGAAAAGGTGGAAACAACAACAAAGTGATCGAAAAAAAATTACAATCTTAACATTTCCTATGAAGACAAAGCGTGTCCTTCTTCAAGGTAACAAGATTACGAGTTATTTGACATATTTTGAGAAGCGACATTGCTTCGATATTTTCTGTTTGCTAGGAACATGGTTCAGAATTTGATCAGATGATAACAAAAGCGACGGGAGGAGGCGGAGTTACTTTCCACTGCATTTCCGTAATCAATCTTTATAAAACAGCGATCTCAAAAAGTAGTACAATAGTAGACGGCAAACATTCAGAATTATTAGCTGTTATCATTTAAGCCAATATTATCCACAGCTTTCGATAAATACAGTCTAAATAACTGCAAATATGGAAGTAGAACAAACAACCGCTGGTTTAGATTGAGTGAAATCGTGTACATATTTGCGCGCCTTCTTTCGCAGACGAATTTGGATCAAGAGAGCCTACACGAGTGCGAACTTACGATCGTGATAGCTAAGCTTCAATTAAACGAGCCTAAAAAGTGCCAATGAATGAAGTTTCAGAACTGAGACTATAACAGAAACTCTCAGTTTCTATTTACCTACCTTAAACTCTTGGCAAGAAAAATAAATACTGCAAACCATGCACTTCCTGTCCAAACTAATGGCCAAAACTCTTAGTTTAAATTGATTAAGCATAAAATGGTTTCGAAACTTGCCATATTTTGAAAATAGGGTATTGTTGGGTATTTTTAGGTTAAAAGTTTAAACGACAGACCGGTTTATATCACGAATGGGCCGAAATGTGCTAAGTTAAGCACACACGCGATCAAAAAGCGCCCCTAAATAACTATCAAGTAACCTAGTAAACAGAGCATTTCGCTAACAAGCCAGAACACGCTGATTATTTGGGGGGGGGGGGGGGGGGGTAGACATTTGCATATAAATTCACACACAATGGGACACCTGGAAGAACATATTTGAAAAGTTGTTAATACTAGTGAAAGAGAGATTAGGAAATTCAGCAAGAGGACATGAAGAGTAGTTTTAAAGTTGGACCGAGGAGAAAAACCCAAAATCAAGCGCTGCCCTGCACTTTAATTGTGGTTTACAACTTCGATGCGTTGTGATATTTGTAAGGAAAAGTAAGTGAAAAAAAAAGAAATTCAAGCCGAATTCGAGAATTTTCACATTGAGAAGGCACAACATAGTACCAAATTAAGATAAGCAGCATTGTGCATATACTTATATCAGATAAAAGTTCATCAGTTTATCACTGAGTGTGAAAAGAAAACCTTGAAGGCAAACCAAGTCCAATTATCCCTCAGAGAGAGGATGATGGACCAGAGCTCAATGGATTCAGAATTAGAATAGTGGTGTTGTCTACTGGATCTGGAAATTATGTGATCAATTAAAACAACAAAAGGCGATGACAAGAATGTAGAAGGTATAAACCAGTCTCCACCACCAAAGGTAAGAACACCACCAACAAATTCTTTTGACTTGACTAACTGTGCAATGAATGTAAAAGCCTCGCTCACATAAGAACTGATGATAGTGACAGTGTAAATGCCCTGAAATCGATTTCAAAACGAGACAATAAGCTAATAAATAGGCCTCAATAACCGAAACTATACAAAAACCAAAAGACAGAAATCCAATTGCATAGTAAATAAAGGACTAGGGAAATTCCAGGTTGGATTAGAGTGACACAAAGGAATGCCACGCGTGTGTAAGGGGCGATATTTTCTTCCAAGACCATCTCCAAAGGAGGCAAGGCATTTTCATTTCCTCCATGTGTGTGTCCGAAAGACTTGCTTCCAAGATGTAATGTACATTTTGCGACAAACAAAAATGCTAATTTAAAACAGAGATTAACTCACGAGGGTAAATTTGTGCACTGAAAAAATAAGGGTATTTACAAGTTCCGTAAAATCCAAACCAAGCAACGTTAAATGGCATCACCCGTGCACTTGGGGAGACAAATGTTAAAAAACAAAAAGTGGAGATTAGAAGCGAAAGCATGTCCAAGAAATTCAAACCGTCACCAAACTAGGAGTCAATTTGAAGAGGGAATTGATGACAAGAACTTGAAAATTAGTAGTAAGAAAAGCTCTTTTGATGCCACAACACTTTTGGACTTTTATCCAACTCCCAACATCCGCATGTACCTCCCCCTACTATAACTGTGAATTGCTTTGACGTTAATAATAATTCATGTTGAGAGAAAATTGCTACGAATACAAGATTTTCAAGTACATACCTAAATAGCAATTTTTTAAAGCTCAATATTGGCCCACACGTACAAGCATACTGAGTTTTAAGTAGATGCCGGCGTATATTATTTCCTTAAAACAATAGGCTCCTAAAAATGGCAAAGGAATAAAGCCGGTTTTACAAGCAGTTGAACACCCTGAAAATAAAAAATGAGACAACTTATGAAAATAGGTGGGGGGGGGGGGGGGGGGAAGCATAAATTATATTTAAGCGTAAACAAAGTATAACCAAGTCACATTCGAGAATAGGCACACAGAAAATATTGAAAGAGCGAGTTTAGGGGATACTCTTGCTATTGCAATTCAAATTGTGTGACCCATACTGTAGAAAAGACAAAAAAGGGAGGCCATAACGAAACTGCAAAAGTGTGTGGATAAAACTCCACGGAGAAGGTTACAGAATGAACTAGGGCAAAGAATGGTTTCAGGGGAACAGCTAACAGTGAAAACAGAGCATTAACTACACTACTATATATATAAGAACAAGATGGCAGCAAAGCCAATTAAAGAGACTTGTGTCGATAAGAAAATAATCAATAAATTATTGCATGCGAGGATTAAACTAACGAATATACACTGCCAGATACTTATTTTATCCAATTACTGAATACAGCAGTGGTACTACGTTAGAAAGATGCGAAACCAGATAAAGGAGAAATGATTAACATAAAGAGATGATAAAAAACCAGAAATTAGACATGCAGCTCACCGGGGAATGAGCGGTAGGCGCCGGGTGAATTGTCAAGAATGAAAATGGAAGAGAGGTCGGTGGAGACACGTGAGAGGTCTTTGGAGTAACTACCGCTGTCATAGAGACAGTGTTGTCGATAGTAGCGTCGTTGAAAGATGTGTCGGCCATTGTCTAAATGATCCGCTACTCCCGCGCCATAGATCTCAAGCGAAGCGGTGAATATCACTAACTCATACCATTGGCTGACCTGTGTACACGAGGAGAAAAATTATGACTTTACAAGAGATAAGAGGCAGAGGGATTTTCATAGTAAATAAGAAATTATGGGTTAGAAATGGATAATAAGCAAAAAAGGGAACCAAATCTAATCCACTGCCTTCTACAAACAGCCTTGCATCCTTTAAAAGAAGCATCACACGATGATTGTAAGCACATTCAACTACGCAACACCATGAACCCAATTACAGGCAAATTTAGTAAAGTAGTCCACTTGAGGCTACAAAATAGACATAAACAGGGATATTGTGATCGAGTGATGAAACAGTTTAATAAATACAAAGTGGCTGAATCTTTGTGGCCATCGGGCCAGTATAGCCAAACATTAAATTGGCCAAACTGTTCAATAGGTTCTGAACATCGGGGAAATGAATTCACTGAAATAAGAACGGGTAATCATATAGTAAAGTGACGATAAAAATAGGATTCAAGTGATATAGAACCAAGTCTATGGATAATTTCGACTTTTCTCAGAAGGTGAGAAGTTAGTAGGAATTATTGATATGAACATTAAGGACTTTAAAGTCAATCTAACAAAAAAGTTATACTCGATGGAAAAACAAAGTGTGCAGAAAAATGCATGGATTTTTACTAATCCAACCCACGAAGATTATTACAATGGAATAAATCATGAGAAAGAGCAAGTTTACTCGGAAAATACCAAACAGCTCGTTGAGGTAAACAGGCTAAAATGGCGACAATAGAAGGTTGTTTTACTTAATCTATATTTTTCCTCAACGAAGTACTTCTAATCAGACAGAATTCACCGTCATTCGATAAAGAACTTGCAAGCCAACGAGAAGATAATGGCCATTGTGACAAGATGATCAGTTCATTTCACTTGCATGCACCATAAGGGTTATTGATTCTTGATGTCACCGATTCATTAAGTAACAGTTTACACCAACATAGTATGGGGGGGGGGTTAAAGCCGAAGAAACCCATAGGCAAACAAGACCGAAAATTCAAGTAAGAGATTGTCATTGAGTTCTCAGTTGACTGACTATCACGGTCAAAATGGAGATATAACCACGCAACATTAGATATTCTCCCCTGCTAAAAGTCATGTTTAATTTTACACAAAAAAATTGCTTATGTGAATTTATATCATTTACGCTAAATTTTCACCATAATCGCAACAAGAACATGCTTTCCTTCTCCTTGATTTGAATATTTGCGCGTAGATAATAAAAGCATAGCTTCCGGATGTTAAGTAGACTGTCCAGAGGTTAGTAAGGAAATGATCGTGCAACCTAGGATGATTAAACACAAACCACCCCATGTCGATAAATTGCTGGCCGCAAACTACCAATAAACGCAAATGACATGAGTATATATGTATGTGCTTAGTCCCGTACAATGGTTTCAGCGAAGAACCTAATTTTAAATTATTAAAATTACTCCCTGGGGTTTGAGGATGGAGCAAACTTGCAAAAGTGCATTTATTCGATTAATTGGATTTCTTGCACTAAATCCGAAGGTCAAATGTACTCAGATTCATGAAAAGAATTCGGATTAATTTTAGGCAGAAAAAAAAGATCCAGGATGGGATGATAGTAGAAATATCAGTTGCAAGTTAAAACGGAATAACTTTTAACGGAAAATATCTTATCCCAGGATTACTGTTTAGAAAGATAATGAGAAAATCTGGTGTGACACATAAGACGGGGAAATAAAGCAAGACGTCAAATGAATTTAACTTGAAATTTTAGGGCTACTAAATAATTGTAAACTTCAAAAGGCCATGATGAAACTGTACGGAAAGAGGAAAATAAAAGAGGAATAAGCCAAAATGTGAACATTAGGATACTATTCCTCTATCAGGTGCCAGGAAACGCCTTCAATGAGAAAAAAAGAATAATATATCCGATCCCCATTCAAAACAAAATGCACGGTGGAATAAAAGAGGTATCTTTAAAAACGAGCACAAAGAGAGGAAAAGAACTAACAGACATAATCTTCAGCCGGAAATATTTCAACGAAATCAAAATTCAACAAAAAACTGAAAGGCAATGATTATAGTAGAATAAATTCATAAAACGGAGCAGAAAGTAAGTGTGCCTTGGCAGAGAAGAGCTGAAGCGGAGTAAAAGGAGAAGGCAAATAAATAAATAAATATATATACATAATGGAAAGAGAATAAATATCGCTAACAAATCAATTTTCAAAACAACACACAGCTTACAATGCTGAGGAAATAATCTACATGGGGTCGTTTGTGTACAGAAAACCGAACTGGATGGTGTTCAATATCCACTTTGAGCACAAAATCGGGCGGTGGACCTCCTCGTTGAGGCCTAGAAACTCCATCAAGAACAGAGTGAATAAGCGTTTCATCTAGATCAATAACCATAATTTTGCGTCTTTGAAGACCTGAAAGTGGTACAAAATTCAACTCGAGGAAATAGATCGTTACGAAAATACGAAACGCATAAAAGAACTTACAAAGCTGGAGTTTGGAAAGAGGGGACAATGGTACAATATTATACCTTACACTTTGATACTGCATTATCGACCTAGTTTGCTGTCGAACTCTGAGGGTGAAATAACTCAGAATATATAAAATAAGTGATGAGAAAACTCTAAATTGTCTGGTAATCGAGTCTTTGAACCAAAACCAATAGATTTGTAACGATATGCGAAGCATTAGAAGAAGTATACGAAAAAAAATTTAATAATGTGAAAGTAAATGTGAAATTCAGACAACAGAAAAACAGAAACGCATAACGCAAGCAACAGATCCTATTTTGAAATGATCAGACTGAATTTACCCGGGGAGAAAAATAAAAATTAAAACTAAATCGCAAAGAAAGTTTATAATCAAAATTTTTATCTTTATGATGCTTTGTATACAAAGATGAATTATTTACGATGATAAATATCTGAAAGTTAAAGTAAAAGATTTGCGAATTTCGATCAATTGATTTAGCGCCACAGAAACATACTTAAAATAATAACATTTCATGAATAATGTAGGTGCTCCATCATAATTTATATAGCAAAAATAAGTATAGGTATTCAAAGAAAAGCACCATAAAAAAATATAAATTAAATCCATGTTCCGAAAACAAAAATAATATTTTTGTTAATTAATATGTCATAAAATATCATTCACACTTTCTCAGGCAAAATAATTTTAATAAGGTAATTTGAAGGTTCTCTTAAACCGCAGCATTTTTGGATGCATTAGTTCTAGGTCACAGTTTCGTGATCATTTTCTAACAAATTCTTCGAAAGTGTGCAAGAGGTAAACAATTTTATAATTTTATGTTTTCATGCGTTAAAAGATACTTTGAATTTCAACCCTATGTGTATGTTTCGATAATATTCACCAATTTTATTTAAATACTTATCTACCAGTTATATTTTTGCGCATTTCGCCTTTGATAATTATGTTGCTTTATCTTTTTTTAATCTAGTGTTAGATTTGATTTATTTGATTTTCCTTTTGGTTATGAATTTATAGATATTTTCCTCGCTTTAAATTTTTGTCTTTTTATAACTTGCTTCTGTTAGAAATAAATGATTGTAATTTTACAATTAGCTTTGTAGAAAAACATTAGCAATGATTAGTCTTCGCCTTTTATATTTATTTATTTTTTATCCATCAATATTGTCATTCTAAGTGTTAATATGCTTTTGTTAAGTTAATCTCATTGAATATTGTTTAACTTCGTATATTTGCTCTAGTGCTTTTGTTATTTAATCAGGACGTTGTTTGTTATCGTAAGATACACGCCTTATAACTCATTTTGATTCGCCCACATATTTAAGAATTCAAACACTTGTTTATTTTTCTTTGGTATTTTGCTCTTGCAGCAGTACATAAATAACGACATTTCCATACATGGAAGTCAGTACAAATATTTACACCACCCAGGTCAATGGTTCCAAATCTTCCATTTTCAAAGTTAATCCCATCAAAGACACCTTTAGACGTCGTATTCCAGGCTTCTTTTTTCACTACAGGCTACTGCTTTGGAAGACTCTAATTCTACGTGTTCGTGAACCATGGTTCATTTTTTTCGAATTGTTTCTTCCAATTGTTCTTATAATAGTTGCCGTCGGATTGAGATTTGCACAAATGCCCGTACCATATCCACCTTGCCATCTCGTTTCCCAACCCTTACCTAGTATGGGATTTCTTTCCTATATGCGGGGAGTTGTCTGCAACTTTAACAATACTTGCAGTCCACACGATGTCGAATATCAGAGTCGTTCAAACATTGTACCGTCCTGGCTATCTTACTTAAAGAAACCGAACTCCAAAGTCTTTTCTGTTTCTTCGTCTATCGTGGAAAATATTACCAAACTTAACTCTTCAAATTCGACTCCTGATTGGAAGTTCTTAAGTGACACGCTTTGCAGTCAATCTGTCGGGCAGATGCTTGATCCAATGTTATCTGAGGAAGAAAAAACAAAATTAGCATTCTTTTGCATTCTTCCCTACTCTTTCCAAAAAGAACGCCTTCTAAAATCAGTGAATAAAGCAGTTGAAATGACAGATAGCTTCATCCCGAAAGATGCTGATTCGATACGAATCAGTCCTGTAATCTCGAGTATAGAAGATATTATAAAGCTCACTGAGGATATTAAAAATATGTCAATTGCACTATGTGGGGAGGAAATTGGCTCAAATAGTTTTCTTACTCTTTTCGAATCACTTCATCAGTATTGGGGTAAAAATTACGTTACGAGGAAACTCAAAGAGAAACAAGTAAGTGGATCTGAGGAAAATGCAACAGCCTGTACTCAGCTAAATACCCTTTTCGACTCCAATACTCTCCAACCCTGGACGCTAAGATTTAGAAATGTACTTCAGGGAGAAGTTTTTTACTATCCAAATACTTCAGTCACCAATGAAATCATGAAGCGTTCGAATAATACTGCTATTATGCTTGAAAAACTGAAGAAAATTGCCTCCGAAGTGGACAGCTCTATTGAAACTTTACTTCCAGAATTAATTAAGGATGCTCCTTTGTTTAAATCGATTAGAACAGTGACTAGACTTTGTACCACTATGCCGACAATTACTCCAGAAAATAAAGAGCGTTGCAAACGAATACTGTACTTCTTGGAAGCTAATCCAAATGATGGCTATACGCATTACACTGAAGTTCTCCCGAAGATTAAAAATGTTTCACGAGGTCTAAATGAAATTTTCTCTGATTGTGTTGTCTACGATCGTTTCCACGGTTACTCAAACGACTCTCAAATGTATGCTGATTTCGATAAGGCTGTGGAAATGAACAGAACAGTCACGATAGTCAATTTTAAGGAGACTAACCAGGTGCTGTCGATGGAATTTCGACTCAAACCGAACATAATAGATACTACTTATAAATTCAAAGTAATGGACAAGTACTGGACCCCAGGTCCAAGATACGAAACACGAGATTCCATGAAATACTTCACCAGTGGTTTTATTGACCTCCAAGATCAACTTGAACGAGCGTATATTTCCATGACATCTAGGAAGAAAGCCCCTGACGATCTTTATGAGGACGAATTTCTTCCGACCGAGATGCAGTTCGTTCCTACTCCGTGTTATCAAGTTGACCCAATGTTACGTTTATTCATGCCCAATATTCCATTGTTGATTGTGATTATCTGGCTATGCAACTATGTAATCAACGTACGAGTTATTGTCTATGAGAAGGAAATCCGATTGAAAGAATATACCAAAGTTATGGGAATGAGTAATGCAGTGCATTGGTTGAATTGGTTTACCGTTGGCTTCACAATGATGACAATTTCCAGCATAATAGCTACAATAATGTTGAAATACGGTCAACTCTTTCCCAAAACCGATGGCTTCCTACTTTTTTGCTGTTTTATGGCCTACATTCTAGCCATTCTTCCTCAAGCATTCATGACATCCGTCTTCTTCAGTAATGCCAACTTCGGTGCTGTATTCAGTGGTATCTTCTACTTCATAATGTATTTGCCCTATAACCTCACTCTTATGTACGATTTGAGCTTTGCTCCCCTCCTAATTCTCACTTTTTTACCCCAATGTACAGTTGCTATGATCTTTTCTCAACTCATGACAATGGAGGTTCAAGGTTTCGGCGGCCAGTGGAAATCATTATGGGAAAATACCCTCTCCAATGATTCAGTTACTGTTGGATTGTGCATGCTGATGCTCCTTATAGACGGAGCTCTGCTATGGATTGCTGTCTGGTACTTGGAGAAAGTTGTCCCAACTAGCTACGGGCTCATTCGAAAGTGGTACTTCCCATTCACAAAATCCTATTGGAGGGAGGTGATCTTGGGTCGTTCAAGTGCACCAAAAGACAGGAATGAACTTGAACCCAATTCAGAAGACCTTGATGTCGCTTTTCATGAACAACCAGACAGTGGCCTTAAAGTTGGAGTGTCTATTCATGGACTAACGAAGTGCTTTGGAAGGAAGAAGTTTGTCGCAGTTAATAATATGTGGGTAGATTTTTATGAAAATCAGGTCACAGCGTTTTTGGGACATAATGGGGCAGGTAAAACGACTACAATATCAATTCTCACCGGTATTTATGCTCCTACGGCTGGTACAGCTCTTGTCTATGGAAAGGACATCAACTACGAAATGCCAGAGATACGTCAACACTTGGGACTTTGTCCGCAGCACAACGTTCTCTTTGATAACCTCACTGTTCGTGAACACATTAAGTTCTACGGTTATTTAAAAGGACTTTCCAAAGAAGACGTAAGGAAAGAAATTAGCCATTTCTTAGCTGAGCTAGGTTTAGAAGAGAAGGCGAACGAGTTGGCTAAAAATCTTTCAGGAGGTCAGAAGAGAAAGCTTTCTCTTGCAGCTGCTTTTGTTGGCGGCTCAAAGATGGTCTTTTTGGATGAGCCAACGGCTGGAGTTGACCCATCCTCTCGTAGAAGCATCTGGAACCTCATCTTCAATTTAAAGTCGTCGAGAACCATCATTCTCACCACTCACCATATGGATGAAGCTGATGTTCTAGGTGATAGAATCGCAATTGTTTCCCAGGGTCGTGTCAAAGCTAGCGGTTCTAGTCTCTTCTTGAAATCCAAGTTTGCCAAATTCTACTACCTAAGTATGGAGAAGAAAGATGGTATTGTAGGCAACAGCGAGGCTGATGCTCGCCTTTCCAAAATAATTTCCTCTAAATTACCCGGTTCTGAACTATCTTCTTCCACTCCAACCGAATGGGTGTTCACATTACCCGCAATTAAAGCATATGATGCCAACGGATTTGTGAAACTCTTCACCTATTTAGAAGAGCAGAAGGCTGAAATGGCTCGGGAATTTGGAGTAAAAGCAATTGGGCTCTCTGACACCTCTCTGGAAGAAATCTTTATTCTACTCTCAGATGATCCTAGCAAAATCAAGGTACGTTATGCTCACTGCAGGTAATATTTTAACCGCAAAAAATAAGAAACCTGAATTTATATTTTATTATCATTTCAAATGCCAAGCTTTATGAAATTTATCATTAGCCCCTTAGTTGACTTCAGCTTTCTCCACGGGGGGGGGGACATATATAGCAGTTAACTAATAGTTATTCATTAGTTGTCTTCTGGTTTCCCAGTATCTCTGGATTTCCGTCCTTTGCCTTTAGGGCTGGACACTGAATCAGGTGGGTCTTCTCCATTTCCTCTTGTCGGTCATATAGGGGTCATGTTGGCTGAGCGTATACTCCTATTCTGTAAAGGTGCTTCGCCAGGCAATCATGCCCGTCACTTAGTCTTAACTCAGCAACTGCCTCGAATCTTGGCCAGTCGGCTATGTCGGAGAGTGCCACTGTCTGCTATTTCTCCTTTGTTCGAGCTTTAAGTTCGTTGCACCTTGAGGTCTTGAATTTTCTCCTGATTAAGGCCTTCATTGTGTGGAAAGACATCGGGCTGTCTATGCCTTGCAAAATTGTTGTCGCCCTCTTAGCAAGTGCATCAGCAAGCTCATTGCCTTTAAAGCCACAGTGGCCAGGAATCCGTTGTAGGACCACTGTTTTGTTTTTTACTCTCAGCATCTGATAGAGTTTTTTTACATTCGTATATCTCAGGTGTTTTGGGTGACTCTCTGTATCTAGTTGAGTTTATTGCTGACTGTGAGTCCGAAAGTATTACTGCTGTGGTGAATTTTGTATCCAATCAACATAATTGGCATAGTGCTATCCTTATGGCCTCTATTTCTCCTTCAAAAGCGGATCTATTGTGTCCCGCTGTCTATTTCTCCTTCAAAAGCGGATCTATTATGTCCCGCTGGAAAGTTCAGAGTGGACACCTGCACCAAAGTTTGCTTGGTTTTCTATGTATGACCCACCAGTGAAGACTTGGAGCCATTGATTTCCCGGATATTTGACATTGATTGTCTCAAGGGCCAGTGAGCGCATTTGTTCTGGAAGGGTGTCTGCTTTCCTGAAGTGGTCGAGCTTTTGGGTGCAACACTCTAGACTGAATTTTGTAAAAAGATATGCACGTCAATAATATTCAGCATTTGTGTAGAAAGCGTCTTTTAATTATTAGCTTTCATAGATTTGTAGAACAAATTTCCGCAATGATATTTATTTATTTCTTGCAGAAAATTTTGACTCCAATAAGACATCTTTTTTGTTTAAAGAGAATCATTTTTGTGCTTAAAGAATATTTCAATTCCACTATGTTTTGGCTATTTTTTTCACTCTTATTGTGTTTAACACTTGTTCAATTTTTTAACCAAATAAATCAATTAGAAAGCTTGTTTTGCTTGTAAGAGTTCGCCTGTAGTTCCTTAAACTGGTCAAGTTTAATTATGGGACACCCAGCTTTAAGCTCTGAGTTTTCCTTAGTAGTTTTTGCAGCCGGAACATAAATTTCTACAGTACGCCTTGAAGGTCTTAGCATTCGAGCAGCCAATATTCGATCTTAATACCGTGTGGATAATTTGATACGTGCTTCGAACGTTTAGGGGCATAGAGATGCCTATGGAGAGAAGTTTTCAATCGCCTACAGAGTGATAATTTTTTTTCATATCTTGATTATTCCTGCTTAAATGTTGTCAATTTTTCAGAACGTGGTCACCTTGTTCAGTAGACCCGTGTTGGAAACCTACTGGGTGTGGATGAATGTCTGTAGTACAATATCAAAATAAGCGTTTTCTCTCTATCTCTCTCAATGTTAAAAATTATTGTTTAAACGCAATTGAATGAATAAAAAAGATCATTGCACGATATGGATAAAATTTGATGCCGAGAACTTATCACTTACCACGAGATATTGACTTATTAATTTTCGATTAAATCCAATTGACTAAATTGATAAATATGGAAAGATTTATTGATTTTGGTTTATGGGGGGAGATTTTCATTTGCTAATCGATTGAAATATCAGATGATTCCGTAAATGTTTTCTCGTATACTTCTCGTTTTTGATTACTTGTATTTCCAAGCACTCTTGTGGTTATAGGACAATCTAATTTTTTTGAAAACAGTAGCGTTAGACTGAAAATATTTTAATGAATTTCTTTTAATTATTCTCGACTTCAATTCTGAAATGCTGAAATAGCTAATTCTTTAAAAATAAGGGGTTTATCCCGTTTTTCTACTCTGTTCCCCTTTAGACGGTAAATCCAATCACTCAAAAGAAAATTGACATCATCTTGAAACTATTCAAACGTGGTCGTCGAGAGACCCGTGCTATGGAACACGTCAATAACTCCTCTAGTACCTCTTCAACAGATGCCAGTGGAGACATTGAAAGCAGTGAAGTGCATGCAGACTTCAAGTATTCAGGAGATGAAGAGTCACATGCTGTCATCCCAACTGAGGCATACACAGCCAAACGCAACACCGGTGTTCGTCTTTACGCTCAACAGGCTTATGCCTATCTTGCTAAGAGGAAACAATGTGTTCTTCGAAGCAAACGCGGCTGGGTGCTAGAATTCGTTATTCCTACCATGGCTGTGATACTCATGATGCTAATTCTGGCGACTTATCCCACAGACTCCTCCCAACCCAGTTTGCCTCTTCATCCATGGTTACTCTCTATCAAGAAAGATGTGGCCCATCTATGGACTTTCTTTGCCAATACCCCTGTTAAAAATCCCAAAGCTAGAGATATTTCCTACAAGTATTCTGAAGAGATGGCTTCACCTAGGGGCTGGTCAGGTACCCGTTGTTTACCTAACTCCCTTTATGAATTTATCCCCCAAAAATATGCCTATTGTAATATCAAAGACTACACACCTCCTCATCCCCTTCCGGCTTTGTCTCCTGAAGAAATTATGGATGTAGAGCAATCGGAGACCATTAATTGTTGTTGCATAAACGGAGATTTCACCTGTCCATCAAACGCTATTGTGGATCCACCAAGACTTCTTCTGCCAACTACAGATTACCTAATGAATCTAACACACTATAATGTATCTCAGTACCTTCTTCGATCGAGAGATCAGGCTATTCTTAAAAGATATGGTGGTTTAATGTTCATGGAGACCGAAAACGGACAGGCTATTGTAAACGCAAAAGACTTTCTTTCCGATAAGCAGCAAGTGGAAGGGGTCTTAAATTCGTTATTTAACAATTCCATAGCTGAAGAAATTGGCATGAATGTTGCAGATTTTGTACTACAAGGACTTCCACCCACCCAGTACGCTCGCATCTACTATCATAACAAGGGATGGCCTTCTTCCGTAGCCTATCTCAACATGCTGCATAACCTTCAACTGCGAATGTTATTAGCTAATGACAACAGCATTCAAGGTAAGGTCCCCTTTCCATATTTCCCGTTATGAAAATTTTGGTTTATACCCTATTTTCTCAATAATGTACAGCTTTTTAGTAACTCCTTTAAAATTACATACTTCTGGGTCAAACTATCCAGAATTTATCAATCCATTTAAGGGCAATTTTCTTAAAATGCAGACGCGTATTTGTTGTTTGGGCATTGTCAGAAATGAATAAACAGAACAATAACGCGATAAGTGTACAATATTTTAAATCTATGTTTGGTGTTCCTTTCAATTCTCTACGAACTCCTGCCAAATCAATTCGACACTACCCAACTAGGTGTCTTTATATAGGCGTTATCACATTAATTTAATCAAAGGTGGCAATGCTTGCAGTAATTATGGTTGCTGAAAGTACCTTTATATAGACAAGTGAATAGTTGAATAAGAAATTTTATTACAAATATAGTTTAGGCTTGGGGGGTGTGCGATAGACTTACCTCCACGTGGTGCACCCTGGGCAACTTATATTCATACGGCAAAAAAGTCTATTGACTGGGAGTTGACTTCTCACTTCAAACTACCATCACCTCACTCTATGCCATATTCGACTATTTTCACAGTACTCACCTCACCTTTGTTCTGCCTTTGTGTTTGTCTCTTACATCTTTGAAACACTCTTCTGTCCCCCCCCCTCTCGACTTTTTTTCACTTTGATGTTCCTTCCCCTCTGTGAAGCCTGAAGTCAACTAAAGGGCTAATGATAACCATCAAGACGCCTGCCATTTGGTATAAATAAATAAATAGTTTAGGCTTGAGATAGTCGTTGAATTGCAAGAACAATGTAAGTGCAATTTTATAGGCTAGTACGCATGAAATTTTGCATGTTATCAGCTTTTGTGAAAGTTTGTTTGTATTTATCAAATTAAGTATATAATGAAATTACACAAGTCTAAACTAATTATAGGGTTTATTGGATTCAGATTTGGGGTTTCTTTCTTCATTATTTTATTATTTATTCATTTTTATTATTATTTATTATTTTCTTATCTTATTCATCCAAGTTTTTTTCGGTAATCTCGGTAATCACTACGAAATCGTCAT